CTCTCTCTCTCTCTCTCTCTCTTTCTCTCTCTCTCTCTCCTATCCCACGGGGCGGTGCTACTGACTGAAGTATCTCTAGGCCATTCCCAAAGGGGGGACATTAACATGTCCTTATGCACAGTAGAATTGTAAATGAGCTGATTCATCAGTGTCATGCTCATAACTGTGCCTGAACTGCAACTATGAGCTGCTGTTTTTTTCTTTCCTAACCCTTACTATTGTCATTTTTCCTTTACTTCTTTTATATGTTTGTCACACTCTTGTGACCCCTTATTTCCGGGGTGCCTTGATAGTCGAAGTAGACTTTGTGCTGTTGAAGCTAGAGCGGTGAGCAGAGTAAGCCTGATTCCCTGTATGGACTTCTCTGTTGACATCCAAAACTTGGCGCTCATATGACATTGTGCAGTTACGAGCGCCGTAAAAACTCTGCTAATACTTTAAAAACTCTCTCTCTCCCATCTCCCCCCCTCCCTCACCTGCTTCCCCTCAATCCTCAAAAATATTCTCTCCATTCTCTTGTGCACCCCCCACACATCGCCCCCACACCCCCACCATGTTCCTGCGTCACTCTAACGCCAAACTCCAAGAGGAGCTGCGCGCCACCATGCGCAGTTACGTAGAAGAGAAGTCTGTTCTCCGTGCGCATCTCGCCAACCTGAGGCTAGACCTGAACGAGCTGCACTGTGACAACCGCACCGTCACCACGGAAGCAAGCGGGGAGGGAGGCGGAGGAGGAGGAGGAGGAGGAGGAGGGGAGGAAGAGGATGACGCTGCCTCCAAGTACTCCATGGGCTCTGAGGCGGAGCTGAGGGCTCTGATGGACGAACCGGCAAGTGGCGAAAAACACGGAGATAACAATAATACGCTGCACCTACCGGCTATTAAACACAGAGGGCGAGGAGGGAAAGGAGGAGGAGGAGGAGGGAACAGCGGGGAGTCGTCCAACAGAAGCAACAAGACGCTGCGCTTCTGCGGACCGGTCAGCACGCCACAGACGACCAGTGTCCGGCTCCCCGCGGACACGGCAGACGGCCCAGAGACCCTCATCTCCCGCCACAAAAGCTTCTTCGACTCCTCCATGGACTCGCTCGACAAGCAGGAGCACCAGAAGTTCTCCGAGCTGCAGAGACACAGAGAGGCTCTCCGGAACCAGGGAAGAGCGGCTCTCCGGGATAGGAAGGCCTCTCTCATCCGCCTGCCGACCATCACCTCGGCCAAGAGGAGGACCTCTCTGTGGGACTCGGGCCAGTACGTGTCCAGACCCAAAGGGAAAAGCACCGAGTTCGAATCCTTCCCCTACATGGAGGCTTCCCTCGAGCTGAGCCGGACCAACTTGAAGATCCCCAAGATCAAAGACCCGCACCGCACGGAGACCCAGCGGCGTGACGTCAGACAGGGGGCAGAGGCCAACCGGAAGAGGGTGCAGTTCACGAGGCCGCGGCTCGAGCCCATCACCTCCGACAGAGAAAAATCCGACAGGCGCTCCGTGCTGAGTGGTGATAATGCTGCTGCTGCTGCTGCTGCTGCGGCTGCTGTCGCTGGTCTTCTCGGTGACGGTGACGGCGCCGACAGCCTAAACACAACGCTAGCCGACACCACTTTGGACACAACTTTCGGCGGAAACGTTTCGTTTGACGAGGAGTACTTTCGGAATCTCGCTGCTCAGACCAAAGCCCGCGCCAACAACAACAACAACAACAACAACAACAAACAAAGCAATACGGCAGACAAAACCGCCAACACCTCAACATCCACCACACTCAACACCACCACTACAACCACAACCACAACAAACGACAACAACAACAACAACACCACACACCCTACAACATCCAAAAACACCAGCCTGTCAACAACCACCACCACGATGATGACGCCACCAGACGCCGCGGAAGCCTCCATCACAGAAAGCAACAACAACAACAGCAGCAGGAGGGACCCCCCAGCAGACGCGGACGCGGAAGCAGACCCCACCTCGGGACCGCCCCCCGACCCCCACCACCACGCCCCCGCGGGGGTCCCGCCCCTAAAGCTCCGCCCCCTGGCCAAGAGGAATGTCCGGCTACACGACCTCCAGCTACGTCAGAGCCGCCTGGCGCGCGTGTCTCCGCCGCTCACGGGCCGCGTCTCACCACTCACGGGCCGCGTACAGAAGACCACGTCAGACAGACGCAGCCCGGGGGAGAAAAGTCTCAAGTCTAGTGACCGCTCGGTGGCCACCAAGATCTCCAGACTATCACAGGTAAAGGCCAGGGGTGTTGTTAGTTCTAGTAAGGTTTTACGGAGCTCGCAACAGCATAAGGCCATACGATAGTTTTAGTAAGGTTTTACGGCGCTCGCAACAGCATCAGGTCATATGATAGTTATAGTAAGGTTTTACGGCGCTCGCAACTGCATGAGGTCATATAAGCGCCAAGGGGTGGATGTCAACAGAGAAGTCCTTACAGGGAACCAGACTTACTCTGCTCACTTCTCTAGCTTCAACAGCACAAAGTCTGCTTCAACTATCAAGGCACCCCGGAAATAGCGGGTCACAAGAGTGTGACAAACATACAAAAGAAGTAGAGGAAAATGACGATAGTAGGGATGAGGAAAGAAATCTCCTTTTTGGCTGGTTGGTTGGTTGTGGGAGGGGAAGAGTCAGGCTGGGATTGTTTGTTTGTGTGTTGT